TATTGTTCAAAAAATAAAAAAAATTTTGCTCTAAAAATTATAAAGTGGATTATTTAAAAATTATTGCTCTTTTCCTCAGGTTTTAGAGAATTTACTTAAAGTATCAAATAATTTAGCACTAAAATTAATATTCACAGATGCTGATTGCGTGATAGATGCTACCATTAATGAAAAACTTCTAAATACAAAACATCATTTCTGTTTTTTTCATATTAGAAAAAATCTTGAAAAAAAGTTTCTAAGTAAATATAAAGATGAGATATGGAAAGAATTTTTTAATATATTCTGTTATGTTTGAAATAGCTATGTGGAAGCAGTATTTGAAAGGCATTGAGCAGATATGTTACAGAAGTATCTAGATTCTGTATTATATCTAGAAAAACAACTTTATCCTTGCTAAGAAGTGTGAGTTCTTTGCTTTATACATAGATTATTTAATGCAAGTATCCAATCTACTCAAAGAGTTGAATCATATAACAGTATTATTAAAAGGCAGGTTAATAGTTCTTCTTTACTATTTGAGTTAAGCAATACCATTAAAAGATTGCTTATCAAAGAAGATCAGTACTAATGTTTTAATAAAGTTGCAAGTATACTACTGAATATCTATAATGAAGAATATTATTATAGATATTTTAAGGCAATTGATGAATCATGTCAAAAGTTCTTAACTATAGCAATTCTTAAAGTTCAACGTCATGAAATAAATTGTAGTATTTACTACTAGGCTCAATTAACAAATTTAGAAGATGAACTTGGGTATCAGATATATTATTTTTGGTTATTTAATAGAATTTTTTTTATTAAGCTTACTAGTTTTTATTTTTATTTTTTAATTTTTATAGTTAACTGATAATACATCATCTGAAATATTTACTAATGATATATTTGATACATTTGTTATTGAACTCGAACAACTAGTTATTAATTTAGATCATGCATGTATTTATAAAGTTTAGAAGGTTTTCTCTATTGATATGAAAAGTCAGCATTTTGTAGTATTATATGATGAGGCTATACATCTTTGCACATGCCTAACGTTAATTAATCAGAATATTCTCTGTTGTTATTTTTTTACAGTAATATTATTGTCAACAATTTTTAAATTTTATATTAGTCTTATATCATACTGATAGTATTTAGATAATATAGCTTGTGAGGCCAAAATATACACTGCAAGTAAACTTGCAATTTCAACAATAGCAAATAACTAGTTTAGATCATTTAAACATAATATACATATTAATTTTGCAGATCTTAATAACATTCATAGTAGTTATATTTTTATAAGTAAGGTTCATAATGAGATATCATTCAAGAAACAATGAGGTAAAGAGTTTGGAATTATGAAAAAGACATTAGATTTAGTGATTTTAACAGAAAGATATGACAAATTATATGAAATACATCTTAGGCTTTCAAAAGAAATAGAAAAAGAGCTCATAGTGAATAATGAAGAAAGCATTCTAGACAATAATTATTCTATTCAAATTATAACTACAATTAACAATCTAATAGGCATTAGTTCAAAGGGTTAAAAGCCAAATAATGCAAAGGCAACAATGTTTAATAGCAATAAATATAAAAAATTAAAGGTAGATAATACAAATCAAACTAATTTCAATGAAAGACTGAATATTCAAAGAGATGAATTAATGGATATTACAAATTTGGAAATTAGGAACATAACTTATAATTGTAGTGTTTGTGGTCAAGTAGGCCATAATGCTTGAACATGCAATATAGATAATACAAGTTAGAATATATAGTAAAAATACAAAACATAGCGCAGAAAATTTAAATATTGTAAATATAAGTAAATTTAAGGTTTATATCATTTAAGTTAGGAGCTAGTCAAAATTACAACAAACAGAATCTCAAAATAGTTAAAATCCTAACAGATTAGAGTTAGCATTAGCATAGTGTTAGTTAATTTTTGTTAAGATTTTGTTTCAGAATTCTGTTTTTTTGGATTTTGACCCAAACTTATTTAAGTTAATTAAATACTAACTGTTAAATTTTATAATAGTGAAAAATCATCCTTATAACAATTATGTTTCTCGTTATTGTAGTGTTTGTAGTCAAACAGGTCATAATGCTCGAACTTGTAATCTAGAGAGTTCTAACAAATAAATTAGTATTATTCAAGATAGCAATAGTAATCATGAATCTGAAAATCAACTATTATTAGCTACAAGACATAATGGTAAGAATTTAATAGTAATATATATATTTAATATTTATAGATTTATATATATATATTTTTTTTTTTTTATAAAGGTGGTTTACTATGCCAAACGAATTTTATTAGTTTAATATATGAGGTCGTCTGTTGACAATCTTCTATAGTTTGTAATTATATGAAGAGTGTATAATCTACCACACGTACAACTTTAGTTATTGTCTAATTTAAGTAGTCTGCTATATAGATAGATCACCTGTTTGGTTCTATACAAGCTGCCATATCTGTAATCTATTTGTGAGTTACCTATTTAAATACTCTGTTCATCTAACCAATACTGAAATCAACTAACATTACTATAACACCTAACTGCTTAAGCTAGCTAGCTTATTGCAGATCTATTTATCTAACTCAGTTTAGATCCTTTTGGGATGCGTATTGCTCAACATATTGTAGTATGCAAAGCTCTAGTTAATCTTGTAAGCAATCCTACTAAAGCAGTCTGTGTCTATTTCATGAATTCACCTAGCTTAGACTCTTGTAAATATTCATATAACCTCAGTTCCTATCATGACTCTCTACTAGTTTTCTGTACTCTATCTTCTCAGATATTTTATGAGGCAGATCTTTCTAATCCAGTTAGCCACTAAGCCAAGTTGGTGTTACTGATCCTCCTTGTAGAATGGATTTATACACACCTGACTCAATTAACATCTTTTACAATAGTTTCTTTTCTAGATCAAGTATTAGCTAGTATAACTATCGAAAGCCGTACTACTTCTTCAACTCAGAATTTCTATCATACAGGTCCCCTGCTTGTAGATTCTATCAAGATTTATTCATGTAATATTACACTCTCTGAACATTCTTTTACACTTTTAATATCTGAATGATATTGGTGTAATATGATTTATAGGGTTACAATCCCAGAAACAGATAGAGTTTACTGTAAGTTGAGTACAAAGGTTTGAGTAATTATTAAATTTGATGACAGTAGGATTTGAACCCCAGACCTCTTGTATAGTGGTCTGGTAACCTAACCACTACACTAAGATTACCAGATATTTATAGATTTATATTGCTGAAAAGGTTTAATAATACTAACTATTAAATTTTGTATTTGTAGTTAATAAGAATATTAATGACAATAGGTCTCGTTGCTGTGGTATTTGTAGCCAAACCAGTCATAATACTTATACATGTAGTATTGAAACTTAGTTGTATATAGTAAATATATGTATATATTTTCAAATATTATATTTTGATTTCAAGTATTATGCATATTATTAAAGATCATGTATTTTAGCAAAAGCTTTGATAGTTATATATTTTATCATAGAGTAAGAATAGTGTTATAGGATAGATTTTAGCATAATTTACATTATATTTTTATTAGTTATATTTATTAGCATTTTAGTATTATTTCT